AGCATTGTTCTGTAGGTATTTGCACTTGGATAGCTCAAAATAATTTTGCTCAGAAACTTTAAATTTGGCACATACAGTCTATAGTCCTGTGAAGAATTGTTAATTCAGGCAGACTGAAGAGGTCTTCAAATTGGGATTAATTATATTTGCACTAATTTTATACCACTCTTGCAGTGTAAAGGGAACTTAAAGTGGCCTTAAACCTTGTCTTCTCTAGGAAAAAAGGTGTGTTCTTAACTTGTCTTGAATTACATAGTAACAGACACAGTGTTACCACACAGTGAAGACAAGATGACCTGTGGTTTTAACAAGAGTTAGCAGGTAAAGTTTAACCCTAAGCTCTCTCATAGCCGGTAACTTAGGGTTTGTCTAGACTACATGGCTCCGTCGACAGAGCCATGTAAACTAGTTTATCCGGCATAGTCAATGAAGTGGGGATTTAAATAATCCTGCTTCATTAAAATAAATATGGCCGTTGCGCTATGCCTACGATCAGCTGATCCTGCACAGCGCGGCAGTCTAAACACGGATCTGTCAGCTGGGGAAACCTTTGCCTACTGATCCTATAAACCCTGTTTCATGAGGCATAAGGGATTCGTCGGCAAAGGCTTCCCCAGCTGACAGATCCGCCTCTACATTGCCACACTGTGCCGGATCAGCTGATCATTGGCACAGTGCAGCGACCATGTTCATATCCAGCTTCTCATCCATTGTAATTCCCAGGACCTTTTCTGCTGAACTGCTATTTAGCCAATTGGTCCCTAGCCTATAACAATGCTAGGGACTCTTCACTTGTCCTTGTTGAACCTAGTCAGATTTCTTTTGGCCTAATCATGTAATTTGTCTAGGTCACTCTGGACCCTATCTCTTCCCTCCAACATATCTACCTCTCCCCCTATCTTAGTGTCATCTGCTGAGGATGCAATCTATCCCCTCATCCAGGTCATTAATAAAGATGTTGGCCCTAGAACCGATCCTTGGGGCACTCCACTTGAAACCGACCAACAACCAGACATCAAGCCATTGATCATACCCGTTGGGCCCAACAATCTAGCCAGCTTTCTATCCACCTTCCAGTCCATTTATCCAATCCATACTTCCTTAACTTACAGGCAAGAATATTGTGGGAGACCATATCAAAAGCTTTGCTAAAGTAAAGGTATATCACATCCACCAACTTCCCCATGTCCACAGAGCCAGTTACCTCATCATAGAAGCTAATCAGATTGGCAGGCATGACTTGCTCTTGGTGAATCCATGTTGACCATTCCTGATCACTTTCCCCTCTTCAAGTGCTTCAAGATTTCTTGAGGATCCTCTCCATCATTTTTCCAGGAACTGAGGTAAGGCTGACTGGTCTATAGTTCCCTGGATTGTCCTT